CTGGAGTTTTTGACCAGAAGTATTTGAAGAGGAGAATGAAGTTGTTAAGAAGATGCATCGAAGCTTGCTGACTCTCTACCCGATCTCGCATCGTCCCATGAAAAGTCTCGTTCCGATCCTCCAAGAGAAATCTAAAGTTCTGCACCTTCGAACTCGTTCTGTAGGTATCGACAATGCCATTCCGAGGTACTGTGAACGATGCTACCAGAAGCTTACCGCGATTCAACTTGCTAATAATTGCGGCTTATCCAGAGGCCCTGACCGGCACATCGTTCTACTGTATTGAACAAATCTTGCGGCTTCCGCGATCCCCGTTTCCATAAATTATCCAGGCCCGAGCAGACCATGCGCAATTTTTCAGATCGTTGTGTCGAAGCGGCGGTGGATCGAACAGAAGAAGATCAGTTGAAACCTTCGTTGCGAGTTACGGGCATGTGAATCATAAATGGGAGAGAAAAGAAAAATCGAGGAATTCCTAGGGAATTCGGCGGAATTTTCCGCAGTCGTTCCCTAACGAGACTCCGACAGGCCCAGGCTTCAAGAAGTACGAATGTACGGCGGCGTCCTGCCGTTCAGAGACTCCTGAAAGTCTTCGCGCTCGCCAAGGTCGCCCGGCAACCCCCTTTCTGCGCTGTTTTTTCTCCAGTTGGACGAGCCGAATCAGAGCAGGCATTCAATTGCCACCGACGGCCACAAAGTAGATGGCGAGCGAGTCTAGTCGGGCGAAATGAGTTTCGAATAATACCTGTGAACATCTGAACTTTGACAAGTTCGTGAATTATTCAACGCGATGATTGTTTTTTACTCCCGCTAGTCTGTTACCTGTGATATCGGATATGAAACACGACACGCGAGTGAGTATCCGGGGGAGTTTTTCGCTAGGACTAATCTTTTGGTTGTTCCGGTTCTCTTGTCTCCCAAAAACTTCGTCAGCGAATGCCGTCTCCGCAAACCAAAGCCCGGTCGACGTGGTAGAATAGTTTAAGAAGGAGCGTTCAGAGGCCGGGATCCCCGTTCGAATCCCCTCGCCGATAGACTCAGAACGCGGGTAACGATACTCCGGAGTGGATCGATCTTCTTTGCATTGTATTGATACGGAATCATCACATGCTGCCATCCGTGAAGACATCCGCAGAGCCGACGAGGATATTCTCGCCTCGTGACTGGCAATCGACTGTGCTTGACTGAGGACTCGGCTCGAAATCAATCGCTCTTCTGGACTTGGCTGCCGCCCATGTCACCCCGCATCGGGAGTCATGGATCTCGGGAGAGCTCCGGATAGAATTTGAAGTCGTCCAGCTCGTGGTCTGAGTCGGAATCCTCTCTTTCCTCGAGTCAGCTAGATTCTCGGGCCATTTGAGCTGATGCGGTAAACCACCGGTCGGCGGTGGGGAGACTCTCTGCGAGGAACGGTTTTTCGTTCAACTCGGCGAAGTGATATGAGATATGATGTGCGGCGTAGGGACCGACGAGCTCAGCTCGAGTGGTACACGTCTATTCAGAGAACCTCCTGTTCCGGTCCCCAGCAGAATGGCTTCTGAGCGGACCTCTGGGCGGACCCCTAAGCTCTCATCTTCTGCTAGGTCGTCTTCTTCCCTGCCAGCTCTTGTGATCGAGATATATACAGTGAATTGACGTACCTCAAATCCGAACTGTCTAGGGCAGTCGCTTCATGTCCTCTGGATTCTGAGGACAGTTGGGCGAGCGAAATCGGGGGAACGCAAAAAAGGAGGTAACTCTGCGATTCAGAACGAAAGTGTTTTTATTGATTGCGGCGACTACCGAACGAGCGCCATCATTTGAACACGGCGAAACGCAGCCTGGGTGCTGCCCATGAGAACGAATATAAGTCCGGATAGGGGTCAAGCTCAACAATAATTCCTTCTTGCCGTGAACAATATTCTCCACGGTGCGGTGTATAAATCAGAAGCAGTTGCAGTTCATGCTTGGCGTATTCCGGAGATTCTGCGATCGTTCACATACTGCTCTAGAGTGGCGTAGCGGGGAGACCCCGTTATTGTGCTGAAGTACGCGCAGCGTCGAAGCCCATTAGTCGCCTGAAGAGGAAATCCCTTAGGAAGCGCGATGATAAATGACGCAAGCGAATCGAACTGATTTGAACAGTCTTCAACCATCGACTAGCTCTGACAGAAGACACGAGAGTTCCTCGAAAGCTCCACGTCTTTTTTCTGTGCTGTTTACTGACGGTGACAACGTGGTGATTATTCCGTCCCTCCTGACAAAGCAAACATACGTTCGACTGGACTTCACGAGGCGAAATGAGAGTTTTGAATCCAGGTCCGGCGTCGAATTTCGGAGAGAACGATTCGTAACAATTTTGCGACTTCTACATCGAAGCGAGACACGCATTCGGCAAATCGTATCCGGAGCTTGTTATCCAACGCGACTGTAATCGGGATTTAGTTCTTTCAAGGAATCCGTGATGTGATCAATACACAAGGGGACGCTCGCGGATTCTGTCTCGTTCTCGAGATCTGCATGCTACGCATTCCCAGCGTAAACTAGAACATTTCTCAATGAGCAGCGACGTGTCACTGTCGTGAATCGATACGACAGCATGAGCTGCTCGAGACGTCGGCAAGGCGAATCGCCGCACGCCCCGATAACCAGTGCACTTTGAACTGATCCGTGTGTTGGGTATATTACAAACGGATCAATTACAGGAATACCCCAACCCCTCCCGCCACCGATGCCAACGGCTTGGCTCAATCGCAAACAATGGTGTATTTCACCATCTGCCCTGACTAATAAGAGGGTCCTTGCCCGCGAATTTCTTATCGAGGGCTCAATCTCATGCATTACTTTTCGATGGCAGTCCCTCCGAATCCGAATGGTTCGGGAAATGTTTCGTTGCGATTCTCTGCGCCCTAACGAGAAGAAGGCACGAACATCCGACAATCCCCAATGAGTCCATCAGAGATTCTGATTGGCCGAGAATCACGCTCCTTGCCGTGGTCGCCGTTGTAGCCCTGCCCGAAACAGTCGACGTTACCGGATTCGCTGTGATCCTGTTAGAAGTTTCGCCTTGAGCTTCACTCGCCTATCGAATGCCCACACCCGACCGGCGGAAACCCCAGCGTTTATCAAAGAGGAAATTACGCCTCATGTCCAGAAATTCGCCAATGCGACGGAATACGCTGAGTGGTCTTTCGACAGTTTTTCTCTCGACAGCACGACGGTCTACATCATAACTGCTGAGATTCCCCTTTAAACTCAGTCAGCATCTAGGCTGGACCTATTCTTGCAATCTCATCGTATCTGGTCAAGATTTCTCCGCTCACAGAGAGTTCGACGGCGACTTTTTTACCGCGAGGGAAGCTATGGCAGCTTCGGTGTATCGAGACCGAGCCCCTCTGAGGCTTAGTAAAATGCTTGGGTCTAGACTGCGAACTAAGTCTCGTCTTCTTTACCGTATCAAGAGCGCTCCTGTACAAGTCTTGTTGGGTTGGCGACGTTCCGCTACCTCGTTCAGTCGGTCGGTTGCTTCCATCTGCTCAATGAGAGCAAGCACACCAAGACTTCTGGCAGAAGAACGACAGCAACCTCCGTCGGCCAGAAAGTTTATCGTCGAAGATACCGAACGTGAAGAATCGGATGAAAGCCAACCGAAGGCCGTTCAAACAACGTCTCGCCGACTCTCGCATGGTCGTCTCGGCAATTCTGAGATTATCGGCCGATGATAATAGGGGAAGGGATGATACCCCCCTGATGCGATCGAAGCCGGGATCCAATATTGCTTTTCCAGTGGAACCGCATCGGATGTCGCTGTCTCAATCCCCTTGAATTGAGACACGATGGAATTTCACGCTCGTCCCCTTTTACTTCATCGTCAATACGGACTTCCGGATTTCCCTCCGACCAAAATAGGACCTTTCTTTTATCGGGAGATCCATGGAAACCCTGCTGAGAATGCTGGATTATCTCGGAGCGGATGTCCGTTATGTGTCCCCACATGAGAGGGCTTCTTTCGAACGAGCATCGACTTTCATGTATCTTCCGAATGATGATGAGACGACAAAGCCATTTGTAGCGGATCATCCGGCGAAAACGGTGCGGTGCAGTCGAGTCCTCTGTTTCTCTACCCCGAGGAACAGTCAGTCCTTATATGGACAAACAGAGCATTGGCGCGTTGCAGACGAGCCGGATTTGTTGTCAGCAGGCGTTGAATATGCATCAATCAAAAACTATGATGAAGCCTGAGTCATCGGCATTTCCAATCCATATTCTCCCTCCTGTTGTGTATAGATTACCGAGGAAGGTTTAGAGCTGCAGGGTGACTCCTGGGAAAGTACCCCGCCACTACGTCCGGGTATAGGGACTCAGCAATCAGAGGCTCTCGATCTCCCGGCACCCGAATGGCACCGGCGGACCCCTTCCGACATCACACTCGATGAGCTTCTCTTCTGTTCGACTTCACTGGATAGCCCGCCTGCCCAACCTACCCCCAGCCCATGGATCGGATCCTCAATTAGCGGGCGGAAAACGCCCCAGATCCGATGCTGGTCGCTGTCGAGACATTGGCTCGCGTGAGGATCTTTCTCTGGGCGGATTTTCGGCAGCTCGCTTAAATGAGGCTGCTGCGATGGCTGTAATGCAGAAAGAAACCGCGGCGCAAGCGTACAAAAGGCCGTTTCATTTGTTGAGCGGGTGGCGATCCCGAAACGCGTCGGCAAGATTGATCGAATCGACTCTTCCAGCCGAAACGCGTCTCAAGGCACCATCCATATACCGCATCCGATTTTATTCACTAGGCTCGGATGATGGTTGATCGACTGTCAGTCACTTACTCAGCTGCTCAGTCGGTAGCTACGAAGTCGATCGGAAGACCCTTGACAATGCCCAAGAGTCATTGAATTTTTTCGCTCCAAAAAGTTTTCTCCCGCGGTCGGCCCTCAGACAGAAAGATCCGGCGTTTCCGATACGGGCTTTATGGCAATATTCGCCGCTCCTGATCTTTCTTCGACGGACAATCACAAGAAATGTTACCCGGTGATCACGTGGTAATTGAGGATATTACCTCGGATGGTGAAAACTTCAATCCACTCACTTGGTCCCCCATGATGGACCTTTCGGAATCCGTCTGAAACGAATCTCTGATCAATGGATCATACGAGAAATTGAATAACGGATTCGACGAGAAAACGACAGCGATTCTTCTGGATGTCACCGTCCCGTATAATCCGCCTTCAGAGAGTTCTGTCGGTAACCTTGAAATCAGGGCAACTGAATCAGGGTCGCGGGGTAGGATTTCTGCTCCGGAATCGTCTTTTGGACTTCGACAGTAGGCTCATTCTCTCGAACTTCGGTAGGCAACGACCCCGAAGTCTGACTCCTCCGAATAGGAGTCTATGCAGTGGGAGCGTCGTTCCGTTCTGAGGCCCATTTCCCCGATCCATATGCGTATCCTCGAATTGACTAATAGAAGGAGGAGGGAAGGATATTGTCGGGGTTGGTCTTCAATCGATGAAAGGGGCGGATTTCCCATCGCGAGCTTCGTTCCGGAAGATAATTTCTCGTAATTTTATTTTCCCCGTGGAGAGTGTGTTTTTGTACAGATCATCAACCAACACCAACGAGGCCGTTGGCATCCGGAAGTGATCCGGGGACCGCTGCGGCATTAGCTTTCTGCACCTCAATGGATATCCTCTGTAGAAGATTCCGGAGCTGCTTATATTAAGAAAACTTGGCTTCCTCCGCCAGCTTAGCCCCCTCACCAGCAGCACGGACCGCGGGCGACCGGTGCGTGGGGGCGTGTCCCATACCGTCGCATCCCAGACCAATGCTCTAGCCGCGGTCCACGGAAAGAAAGTTAGGCCGAAGATTTTGTGAGAAGTGAGCTATTGTCTTCGGTATAGGCTCGTAGAGCCACTGCGTCTCGCAAGAGCGACTTCGGCGGACACAGTGGGAGTTCAGCTTGGCGCAGATACAAATCTGACAGGGTCCTTGGGGCCTCTTCGACGCGGAGACTGACGCTTCTCTCAAGCATGCGATCCTGACCAGAGTATCGCGGATCATCAATGAGGTTTCCGACGAATCTAAGGCTTTTCAATTCATCCTTCAGACGCTGGTTCTCCTCCTGCTCCTGGTGTTTCTGACTGAGGCTGAAAAACCTCGACTGGGATCGGAGAAGGACTCCATACCCGAACGAGCATCCGGTCGAGAGAAGAGGAGCCCTTTCGGCTACACTGTTCGAGGTCCCAATCATGTCGCAACCTTCCAGATGGGCTCTTTTGATGACGGGTTGAGTATTCTTTCCCTCGATAAAAAAATGACGAACCGGTTTCGGGAAAATCGGAGCCGGAGCTCATTGATTTCCGTTTCAGACTCGCTCGGCAGTTCCCCAAATTCTCATCAAACGGCTTCCACCGCGGCGGGGCTTTCGTTGCGAATCAGCTGAGCGATTTCTTCAACAAATTGGTTGATCCGGGTCGTCCTCGAACAGTGTACAGAAACCCGTCGAACCCTTTCAATGTCCAGACTCAAACTCCCATTTTCTACAACCAAGGTCCGGTGCTCGGGAAGAAAGACGCTCCCGTTTATCCTCGACGTATCGCCGCATCGCCCTCCCCCTTATTGCCCCCCGTAAACGCCTTTCCTCCGGTGAACCTCGTACCGAGCATTCGATCCACTCCATCCATCTCACGTCAGAGTACCCAATACTTCGTTCTCGGCGATGCCGCGCCCGACTTCAGGAACCTCCTGAATCATCCCAACCTTCCCACCGCGAACCCCTTCCAGCCATTCACAAGGAGCTTCGTCAACTATCCAACGATAGTCACCCTGGGCCATTCTAACGCCGGCGTGTTACCGACGGTGAACCCGAGCCGACCTTTCCCTACCTTGAACCCACCTTTCTACACGAATAATTTCGCGACCTATGCCGTCTCGCAGATACAGCCCACCCGGACCTTTCTCCAGCCCACCTTCGTCCCGTTGCCTCCATCGCCCCCTTTGGTACCCCCCTTGCCTCCTCCGAATCGCCCCGTGGGTCCCCGCGTACCCATTCCGGGACTGGTGACTAATGCGCCTAAAGGAACATTTTTCTGGTTCAGACTCAATAACGAGAACTTCACCTTCTCGCCCACCTATAGCGATTTCATGAAGAGCTATCAGAACCCTCTGTTCTTCACCCGACCCATGCAAAATAACCTCTTCCGACCCTATTATACCTCGGGGAAGAGAGCTTTTCTGTATCCATCAGTCAACCGACTCCACCCATCGAATCGAATCCCCGCTTATGTTCCCGATTATTTTCCCCCGACTTTCCCGTGGAAAATTCCATTCCTCAAAGCCGAAGATGAACATCCCGCGGAGGGCCACCCGGGGAAAGTTACAACGATCTATCATGGTTCTGCAGGTGGCCTGTCTCCGACAACCGTCGTGAAACGTCCCGACGTTTCTACTACCAGCACGGTAGGGACCGACCTCAGCGAAGATTCCTCAACCGTCGATCCAGTCTCCGCACCGGATTCCCCAACCACCTCGGCTCCGGATTACGACCCGGACCCAAGCACGGAAGCAGATGCCGATTCTGATCCAGGCATCGGGCGGGATTCGAATGGAGATGATGATGCGGACGAAACAACGACGACATCGACGACCGAAGACGAACCCGGTGCCCCGAACGAGGAGCCTGATTTGGGTACCCAGAACGAAGATGACGGAGCAAAGCCCAAATATCGAGGATTTGTTCCAGCGACGGAGAGTCCCGGAAAGCCCACGGTTTCCGAGAGTGAAGACGAAGACACTCAGACCAAGGAACCGAGCGCCACAGTAATTCCTTTCGAGCCGTCCGGATCCGCCGACGGAGATTCCTCTCCCAGACCCCGGAGTTTCGATCAGAGTTCAAACGATCGCGACGAAGCAGATGCTGAAACTTCGACGCCAGAGAGCGTAACTGACGTCGATTCGGAGGATGCCGTTGAAGTTACACGTAAGGGGAAGTCCTCTCGAGATAGCAATGATTATGATCAATTTTTCGTCGACTTCATGTCGAATCCGAATTCAATCGATGGCGCTGGGAAACCCGAGTCGGAGCTACCGGCAACTGCGAAGACTGACATCGAAGATGCGTCAACAACGACGACGACATCTACCGAAGCTCCGGATACGACCACAGTCAAATTCGATGAATTCGATCATTTCGTCGATATATTCGCCACGGAGACTCGGAAGGATGATACGACAACCTCGGCGGTCACAGAGACTACGATATCGACGACGGAACCCATAACTACCGAAACGGAAGCGTCCACGACGACCACGTCGAAACCAAGGTTCAAATCAACCACGAAATCGAGGCCCAGAATAACATCCTTGCGTACAACGACAACGAAACCCAAGAACCGATCCACAATCAAATTCAAACTCAGGACGACGACTCGACCGAAAATGAGATTCACGGAACCGACGACGACGACCACCGAAGCCACAACGACGACGACCACCGAAGCCACAACGACGACGACCACCGAAGCCACAACGACGACAACCACCGAGGCCTCAACAATGACGAGCGTCGAGTCTCCGTCGACAACTCGCGAAGTCACGACGGAAGCCGAGACCACGACTCCTACGGGGGAATCTGAAGGCACGACCATCGTGTCAGAAGAGGCAACAACAATTCCAATGACGGAAACGACGACACCGGAGGGAACTTCGACATCATTTCCCATTTCGCTAGGAACGCCTGAAAGGGAAGAAGCCGCAACGACGGCTGCGGAGGAGCCCTCGAGCACGAGAGACGTGCAGAACGACAGAGGATCGACCGATGAATTGAACACGACAGCCGTGACGACTACGAGGATGGAGGACTCGACTCAAGAAGACGAGTCGGCAGCTGCGAATGACCGTCCAACGACCATGGCTAGCACTGAGAGCTCTCCCGGCCAAGATGAAACCACCACACCGTTGGACGATGAAGGTATTCTAGACAGAAAATTTATTCTAGGGGCTCCTTGTATTCTATGGCATCGATCAGCCTGGATTCGACGGGGAACTGTCTTTCTCTGATGAGATTCCTCGTTTTCTTCGGAAGTTCCGAATGAAGCAACAATCACCGTGTCGCCTTCGTGATCTAAATGTTTTGAGTCGGTATTAGATTCATTCTCGAAGGAGAGTTGGATCACAGATCCTGCGACAGTAGCCCGGAAAATCCAGGAGTCCGAGATGTGGGAGTCCCTTGCGATTTGACACCGCGAAACCGTCGATGTGGGGCGAAGCGGATGAGCTCCCGCGATTCCCACCCATGAGGCGTCTTGAATGCATCGATCGTTCCGAACTGAGTTTCCTAGGGGGCGTATTCGAACTCTTCGAATCAGCTTCTACCAATCAATCGAGAGGATCTGTCCCCGTTGCTCATCGCGAATTTCCAATTCACTGAAAACTTTCCCCTTCCAGAAACTGCTTCGACGATCACCACCACTTTCGAAAGCGCTAACTCTGTCAAAGACGGCGGGGAAAAAGAGCTTTCCGCACCGGGCGATGATGAGCCCGTAGAGACTACGCCTTTGCCAGATGCCCCTGCTTCGAGTGGAAGTACGCAAGAACCTCATCTCAGTGTTCGGAAAGGGAAGGAACTTGCTGATGAGAAAGTTGACGAGGACTCGACCTCGCCAACGCTCGAGACCTCCGCAGTGGATGACGTTACCTCGTCGGAGAACTCAGACAGCTCGGCAGCAGATGAGACCTCAACAGGAACGACAGTGAATCCAACCGGGGAAACCGACTCGACCGAAAGCACCACCGAAAACCTGGATCAAGAGGAAGGAACAACGGGTACGCAAGCTCAGAGCTCGGAGTCCCCTGTGGATGTTGAGACGAAACAACCGGACCTCGAGGAGCGCCGCGAACGCGTGCCAGAAACTGTGCTCGTAGGGGGGCGCAATTATTCCGACGTTCAGGACAATCATCCAGTGGTGACCGGCGTTGAAACTTCTGAAGACAATAAGAAAGTGCGGAGAGCTGCAACTTGGTTCAAGTGGTTCCTCGATAAGGATAGGATCGCGAAGAATCTCGTCGACGACGTCAGTGATTTCGCCACGAGTCGAAATATAATTTATGTGGTGTCGGCGGCTCTACTGATATCGGCCATGTTCTCTCTAATGGGTCTCTATTGTACTCTGCGGCCCTCAAAAGGATGAAGCTCAAGCAGAGAAAGACGGGATCATTTCTGCTCAAATATGATGTCTACACGTACAACGCCAAACTCGATAAGGGCCACCAGAGCGGTAGCACGACCGAGATATAAGTCACTAGTACGACATCTGAAGATCTTTGACGCATGTTCCCATGCGTGGACGTGGCTGTTCCTTTGAGGGAATAAAGATTGTATATATTGTTTTGTTGACATCGTCGATGTTCCTTTAGATTCCACGATCACGATCGACCGGGAAGTATTTTCCCTCTCCGATTCCGGGCAGGGCTTGCGCGCGTCTAGGCTGGTTGCTACGAGATTCGTTAGTCTCATTTCAGTGGCTGGTGGTTCGAAGACTGGCTCAACAAAGGCTGAAAAGGCTCGTCAGACCTCGAAACGAGGTAGTGTTCAGAAACTCCCTATTCCTATGAGAAGAATCCGCTGAGGGGCGGAACGCGGGCTGTGGCCGAATTCACCAATGCACAGACTCGGCTCAAGGACGGCGTTCCCGGGGAACAAGCATATCGTACTGCGCTACGCTTCGACTCACAATTCATGTGATAGAGATAGAGATGACTCTCAAATCAAGATGAGATACTCCCGTCTGAATACTTATGTGTTAGATGCTGCTAGAAACCGATACCTCGCTCGTCCGATTGCTGATCGCCCAAACGGACTAGGCGAGAGACTAGGCGGACTAGGTGAGATCGACAGCATGCCCGCGCTCCTAGGAGTTCTGTCCTATCACCCTCTCCGAAACAGCGTCTTAGTAGCAGACGAAAATTCGGACTAGGCTGTTGCTGTTGGAAAGTTGGAACGATTGAGTTGTCCCTTCGCAGAGCGCGTATAGTGGATTCGGTGCTTCGATGGCTCGCTCGGGGACCGTGAGCCCGATGTGTACTCCGATCTCGAGATCGTAGAGATGAACTCGTGGACCGTGAAATGGAGATGCAAAACCAGGTACCGACTTCCGCCGCTTCCAAGCTGTCTAAATTTGTTTACCAATGCCTTAAGCGTCGACATGAGACGCGAGTCGGATGTGGGGCTCTCGCCGGGGTCCAACAAAGAAACAGCCCGAAAGGAATTGGCGCGCCGTTCCAAGCCGATGGTTTTCCATCACGCAGGAACCGGCAGTGCGGAACTCCTGGGAGCTCATGCATTGTGGAGAGTTCCGATGGAACATCCGAGCCGGCATCTTCCGGAGCGATCTCCTCAACAACTTTCGTTTCAACTCCTTGAACCGATCTTGAATCCCAGGCCGAGTCGAAGAATTCGGATGAGGAGGAGCTCCAAGTCGGTTTGGTCTGGGTGGGTCGGGATCGGAGGTCGACACTGTTCGAGTTTCCAGTGACAGCTGCGCGATGCCGGTCAAGCATCGGTGATTGATCTCTCGGGAAGTTTGTCGCGACTGCAATCGGAATCGGAATTCACAGCTGCCAGCAAATGACCAGAGCTGGCAAAGCAGAGCAGAGTCCTCACCGCTATCATTCCTGTTCAATTACAGGCTTGAATAGGTCCTCGCTATCAACGATTCAACATGGGGGAGCTCGGCTACGTCGTAAAACTCGCCGCTGGATCGAGGGCTCTGGTAATCGTTTTGCAGTTCCTATGCAATCACTTCGTTCCAGATCATGAGGCCGATGCTTTCCGTTCACCGCTAGTCAAGCTTGAACAAGCTCGATGGAGCTCTGGAGACAATCTTGTGCACTATTTATTCGAGGGTCTCAACCGGTGGGATTCCCAATATTTCACTCACATCGCTCAGTTCGGGTACACGTACGAGCATTTGGTCGCCTTCTTCCCGTTCCTCCCGTGGTTGATGGCCCTCACTAGTCAAATACTTCAAGTGAGTTTCTCACAGTCAGGCAGAGGAAGGAATGGAAAGGAATGATCGAGTCATTGTGAACAGAGGTGCAATCGTCAGCGTCCTCACTTCGTGATTTTTACTCCGGTTTCAGGACATCTTCGGAACTGTTCTCAACCCATCTAGTTGGATCCTCATATCGGGCGTTTTGATATCAAACATCTCATTCGTTCTGTCCGCGGTCGTCCTGTATCATCTGACTCGACTTCTATTCATAGATCGGCATTTCCCGTTAAAAGTCACTCAGCTTTATTGTTTCAATCCCGCGTCGATTTTCTTTTCATCCTGTTACACGGAATCCCTTTTCGCCTTCCTGACTTATTCAGGACTTTTCTTACTCGAAAAAGATTTCGATACGCTTGCGACGATCTTCTTCGCGGCGAGCAGTATCACACGTTCAAACGCCACGCTGATCCCGATATTCTACTTGTTCAAAATTCGTCAGCGCTTCAACCGAGGAAAATATTATTTCGGCCTGATCATGCGCATGGTCTTAGCATGTGCTGGGAACGTAGCTGTTCAACTGTACTTCTGGGAGAGGTTCTGCTTCCCTCACCCGAGGACCCAATTCCCGGAGGCCGTGCATACGTATGCCGATCGCCTAAATTACAAAATCGTCGGCGACGAGGCGCTCGAGTGGTGTTTCAACCTGATCCCGTTGTCCTACAGCTACGTGCAGGCGAAATACTGGAACGTGGGTCTGCTGAAGTATTGGGAGATGAAGCAAATGCCGAACTTCGTTCTCGCGATGCCGATCCTCGTCCTGATCTCTCACTTCTGCCGGAGCGAGCATTACCGGCGTCTACAGCGTTACTGCGTCCACGCGGTGATCCTGTGTTGCATTTTCGTATTCTTCGCCAATGTACAGGTATCGACGAGAGTTATCATGAGTGCGACTCCGTTGCCGTTCTGGGCGGCTGCCTCCGCCAAGAACCCGACACTGGTCTGGGCTTACTTCATCTGGTACTTTTTCGTGGGTATTTTCCTGCACTCGAATTTCTTGCCTTGGACATGAGGCGTTCGCTGTCAACTAGACCAGGGAGCAACCGACTGGCGTCTCAGTGTCGCGATCGAGTGTTCTCGGATACGACGAGAGTTGAAGTCCGCATGTCGACTGCGAGTGAACTCAAAGAGGACAATGTAAACTGCAATGTGAATTCCAAGTGCACAGCTATCCCCTTGACACTCTCAGCGCGAGCTTCAAGCTCTACGAAACCGATGGATGAGCCTCGGATTCCGACCGGAATGGGCAAGATCTTAGATGAATATGATGTACCCCAGTACTGGGAATGTAGGGTAGTTCGAGGAAGGCAGCACGTAGGAATAAAGAAACCAAATCAAGGGTGAACCTCATGGGCGATGCATAAGGCGCGTTTTATTCCAGAACCAATTTTCGCAAATAGATGGCATTAGGACTCTGATAGAGTGCGGAACATAGCCCTTCTATCTACAAATCAAAACAAGTATCGAGCGAGCCAGCGATAATCCGGTACTTATCCGATGAAATTTCGAAAGGTGGAACAATCACTTATGACTTGGTAGACGCGCCGGAGCAGTCTTGTTTAAGTTAATGATTTTTGTCAGGACGCCGATCAGCGATTAGAATTAACGTACCGAAACCTTTCCAAATCCTCGCTGCCCGGTCAGAGGGGAAGGAGTGACTCACGATCATCTCCGATACGAAAGACTCCCGTGAGAATCGAGAAACTATCATGTTGAAGCTCATAGATCGACGTTATAGTCTTTGGGAATTCTGCCTATCCGTGTGTCTCCTCCTCGTCGTCTTCTGATACCTTTTGCAGTCGAATCTGTTTCTTCATGTTTTCGACATGTAAGCCCGATCTGTGCAAACGCCGTCTGTGGGATCAGATCGGCGAAAATCTGAGATCCGCGTCTCGGTGGCTGAGGTGGCCCGAAGTTCTCGCTGAATTTTCTGTTCTTCGGTAGAACTTTGGATGAGCCTAATGGAAGTATGCTCAGTCACTTGGATTGATCTGATGCGCTTCCCCTCCTCACACATAGGGATTCTCCTCCGATGAGTCCGCCGGCTCCGACATGTCTCACTCAGTCAGCGAAGGAAAGCATAACATAGAACAGAGAAGGAAACCGGTGATGATGCTGCCGCTCGCGCTACCGTATGACGTCATGAGGTCCACTTTTTTCGGAGACGATTGCTCACGCTATACATCGTTCGTCCCCTTGTCGTTGAATGAAGTCTCTCCGGTCGGAGTTACCGCTTGCTTCCTCCTGACGCTAGATGATTAACAGATCGACTGATCACACCCCTCGAATTTTGTCGTAATTTCCACGCATCCGAGATGTTGACTTCAGTTGTCTTCAGACGGTTCCGCACTTTTCCCAGCAGCGTGCCAGCCAGGTGTTGGTACCCAGTCGTTGTTATCTGTACAATGGTCGTCGGCAGAGATGTTGGTTGCGACGTCGGGTGTGTCATCTGGGAGATCTCTTCACTCGTTGATGCTGTCTTTACCATTCTGATATTCGAGGTCTCGTCGTCGCGTCCACTTTGTCCATAGTCGACGACCGCTGCTGCATTATCATTATCATCGTTGAATTGGAGATTTTGACAATAATAATAATGGCAATGATAATAATATTAATTATAATCTCTACTAGAAGAAATCGGCCGGCCACCTGTACAGTTCGTGAAACCGTGCCCGGAGCACATTCCCACAACTTGAGCAACATTGTTCAGCAATGCCGTTTCTTTTTTTACAAGCCCATCTTTAGCACCCAGTCAGATCGGTGGGTGGAACATGAGAGGGATCCAATGTACATGAGTTGAGTTTCAGGCTTGGAATTATTTAAGGCCTTTTGTTGTATTCGTAGCGTACAGCTGCTGTTGAAAGTTGTGGTACTGCGCGGCGTACGTGGGGTCAGACGTTGTGTTCTGCTGACCGTAGAAGTTCTTCTGGTTGGGACCCCCGCCTCCAACGCCGCCGCCACCGCCAGGTGGACCGTTGAAACCCATTCCAACGGGGGGGCCCTGTAGATGCTGTTGGTCAGGGTAATATTGCATTGGTGGTTGACCGGGTCCATTCGCCATCGATCCAGGCCCGCCCATGGGACCTCCTTGAGGTCCCCCCATAGGCCCATTACCCATAGGGCCCATGGGACCCCCCATAGGACCTCCCGGGCCACCGGGAGGCATGCCTTTCATGTTATTCATTTCAGGCCGCGTGTACCTGGAATATGCCGCAAATACTTGAGCATTCATTTTGCTAGCTTGGATCGAGGGGAAGTACTTTCGCCTCTGATGGCTCCCTTCCCCTTGCCGTCGACATCGGAAATCGACGACAGGGACAAGGTGTGAACGGAAACTCGGGGAACCCACCTCTGTAGAAAGTCTAAACTAGGCGCTCGCTGCTGCGGCATTTGGGCGTTCGGGGGCTGTCCTGGTCCCTGGCTCCTGGCGGGGAGGTATTGTATGGTATTTGGTGCGTCCGGTCGGACCTGTACGTTCGTCCGGCCTCGCGACCCTCCTTGAGGTACTCCAGGACCAATGGGACCACCGTATGGGGGTCCGCCTTGACCAACCATTCTGCCGCCAGGACCCGGAGACGGACCCCCCATGGGACCGCCCGGATGGCTCATTCCGTTGCCATCGAAGCTCTCTAGCAGAGCCACACTGAAATATCTCCATCACGTAAGCACTTGCTAGTAGCAGATTTCTCGGAAGCCACCGGGTCGATCATAAAACGACTTAAAGACAAGCATCAACTTACGGATCGTTCCCGATGAGGCCATCGTTCGGAGGCTGACCAGGACCGCCAGGCCCACCAGGTCCTCCGGGACCCCCGTCCATTGGGTTAAAACCCATGTGCTGAGGTGAAGGCATCATTCCGCCCGGGAGATCTACAGGTGACATCGGATTACTGTTCTTCGATTTATTTGTCTGAGTGAGATGCGGTGAATTAGAAGGACCAGGATGGAGCTGCGGCGACGTCGAGGGTTTGAAATTCATCCCCGGTGCTCCCATCTGCGAGGGATCTGGTGAAGGTCCTCCAGGTCCACCCATCGGCCCCCCTTGATAGGGACTCTGAGGATGCCCCATCATAGCTGGGCTCATGGGCCGAGGTTGATCGGGCGGCCTGGAATTCGATGGATTGTTCAGAGGTCAGCTCGGTGTAAGTTCCACTCGTGGGACATGGGTTCGCAAAATACTCGCCGTTTGACTTCGAACTCACCGGAAATTATACTGTGATCCTTGATTCGGTGGGCCACCCGGCCCGCTTTGTCGAGGATTCGGGGGGTATTGGCCTCGAGGTCCCTTGGAAGGTCCGAGAGGACCACCGGGTCCGTACGGATTACCAGGACCTCCTTGCATGGGTCCTGGTAGGGCGTGTGACTGCATCATTCGAGGTCCGGGACCTCCCGAAGGACCTCCAGGGCTACCCGCTTCCCCCGGGAACAGCATCTGCCGCATTTTATTGAGCTGCGCTAACGATTCTTCTCTGTGTTGTCTTTGTTGCGGCGTCAGGTTTTCGTCGGAGCCCTTGACCCCGGGATTTGGTCTACCGCCGTGTCCCATGGGACCCCCCGGCCCTCCGGGTCCACCGGGACCCCCTGGACCCATGGGTCCGTGCGAACCCATCGACGATGGTCCACCCATAGGGAACGGTGCGTTCATAGGTGAATTACCAGGGACCATGGGGCCACCGGGACCCATTGCGTTCATTCCGCGGGGTCCATTAGCGCCCGGCATTCCAAATGGTGGGCCATTCATTGGACCTTGGAAGTTACCCGGAGGGAAGTGATTGTTCATGTAACCTGGTTGATTGGGCGAACCGCCCATCGGCCCACCCGGCATGGGACCTCCAGGACCCCAACCGGGACCCATCGCGCCCATCATGGCTCGTCTCCGCTCCAACAACTGCCGTGTGCATGGCTGTGCGCAGTGGAAAGCAACAACTGAGGGGAAGTGCGCGCACAGGACAGCCTCAGCAGCTTGGTTCGCCATGTTCGTTGTGAAAACGAACGACTGGCTCGCTTGAGGCGTGTTTTGAGGTCCGTTCGATGGGGTTGTCTGCGTGCCGCTCGGCGTTGACGTCGATGGGTATTCTTGCTTTTGATTACCCCACGGCTCGTTACTTTGTGTACCGTCGGGACATGCTGAACCCGGCCTCGAGCTCTCCAGCTTGGGCTCCACCTGTCAAGAGAGAATTTCCATTCGTAAGCCGACGGGCGCAATGAAATCCAAAGTTACATCGGACGGTGTTCCGGAAGCGACAGTCAATCAATCAATCAATCGTGGAATAAGAACCACACTCAGAGAGAGCACATTCGTTGCTCCTCGACGTGGGGGCTAATCGAAGCCGCAAATCCGCGTCGATGCCAACAGGCTTCGGGAATGTGGGTCCGAGCCCATGAGGAGTGCAAATCAATCTCTCCGCTATTGCGCGGCTTCTGGGTCGCATCGATGGGAAAAGAATCATCATTGACGACTCATTGGAGGATCTGATCTCCGAGGAATGCTCGCCCGTCGGGACATCCTCAGTTTGTCTGCCGCCGAGACTCTCTCACAACCTTGCCTCGTCTTCACACTCTAAGGACACCAACCTTCGTATCATTATTAGATGAATTGTTGTCTAGCGATTGAGCCACGCAGTCGTTGAGGCTGGGGGACGGTTTTGGATGCGGTGAGGGACTCGGTTCTTTGGAGCCGTTTGACGTAGTTCCTTTCTCACATGGGACGTCATTCGAAGCAGCCGCAGGTGGCTGCTCACCTTCGACTGTATTCTCAGCACCGTTGCACTTCATCCCTCCGACCGCGTTTGAGTATAACGAGTCCACCTCGACTTTTTCGTAGTCCACCACCTACCCCGTGCTACGATATCTCGATGCGCGCCATCTGAAAAGTCGGGAACTGTGATCGGGGATTCGGGGATCTTCTCCCTTCGGACTCATCTGCGAATATTCGTCCTAAGTGCGTGGAACGTATTCGTGTTCTGTAAACACGGGCCGAATTTGCGCGGGCGCTTGAGATACCAGAAGTTTTCCGACGTGTCCGGAACGCCCGAGCTTCTCGGGCTCAGTTGATGAGTTCCCGGATGACTCCAAGGATCACCGATCACGCTCGAAAGCAACGCTACGAGCCGATATTCCCTCGAGCTTCGACGGCTCTCGATCGAACTACCTAAACAAAACCGGAGCGGATCGACGAGAAATCAGAGGAAAAGTAACTGGATACCGGAGGAATCCTCGGAATCCGGAGCGATTTCAACTCAGTTCCGAGCTCAGAGAATCAAGACTGGGAATGACAAACTGCGAGCGGAAACGTTCTCGAATAAGCATTGCAGAAAGGAGACCCGACTGACCGCGGCCATCGGCCAGGAAGTCAACAGAAGACGATGCATCACTTACACGTGAATTCGTCTGAGAGATCTCGCACGTCAAAAGCTCCTGATGGCTGACGGTTCGTGCAGGGGCCAACCGACGGCCTTTCGAGCACTTTCGGGCTCGCTTCAGAAAGCGCACCTCTGTCAAGGAACTTGTTCGGCACCACTCACTCGATAATATTTTGCTTCTCTCATGACAACGCCATATTTGCGTCTCGAGCACCAGCTGGCCGGTAGAGGAAGCTCGCGGCTCCGCATATACCCCGTCGAGAGTCCGGAGCGTAGTCTGTGCTTGAAGGTTGAGCTGCACAGGGTTGTTTGCCGCCCGGTACACTGCTGCTGCTGCTGCAGAAATCCCAACCATAGGACCACAGTGTTTGAGAGAGCAGAGAGGCGCCCAGCTCCGAAGTCGCGATAGAGCGGCGCGGAGAGAGTGAGAGTGTGAGCTCGGAAGAGCAACAGCAGACAATCGGTCTGTTGCTGCGGCGGCGGCGCGCCGGGACGTTTTCTTGAAGTCGAAGCCATCGCCTGATGATCGTTCACAGCAGCGGCCTCAGCGGAAAATCGGCCGCCAAATCGCCCCGTTTTTTTCCGATGGGCTCTTTGTTTGATCAACGCTTCCGTGGATCGAGTATCGAGTCACCGTTCGTTTTGTGGCTCCCTCTCGTTCGCCTTTGCCTCTACAATTTAGCTATCATATCACGCGGATGCATGCTCGCTGAGCGTATTCTGCGGAGCACGATCTTTTCCCGCGAAAACTTGACATAAAACCGGTCCTTTCGTCGATGCCGCGGGCCTCGGTCGAATCAATCCCTCACACAGGGGGAGAATGAGGATACCTTGGACGGTCATGGACGCCACGATCTGTTGTGTCGTCATAGTATATCTCGCTTCTACCAGTATCGTTTCTCAAAAGCAAAACTCTCTTCCTGATTTCACATAATTATGGGATTTGAGAGACGCCCATCTATTTCGGCAACCGGAAAGCAGGCACTGAGCGCATGAATGAGACTCCCGCATCAATGAGACTCTGTTCGAAGTCCATTAAGTGAGCCTTGGGCTTGAAAATTCGGCCATCCCCGCATGATCATATGCAGCATCTAGTATGGAGAGAGACTTCCAGCGAGAGCTCGTTTCGACCCCGATTCCCTCAGGGCAGAAAGGGACAAGCTCTTTCATATGGTAATCCACTCGATTCGGTGACTCACCCTACATGAGGTTTCTTCCATTAGATTCGGCAAAATCGCATAGAATATCGGCGTCAAGAGATTCTTCGGTCGTCCCCCGGGGATTTTGAAGACTTTCTTGGAGAGCCTGGGTGCCAAACTGATTGGTCCGTCTACGTAAATTGTCGACACCTTGATGATCCAGGGTCGGCGAGGAGAAACGCCCTTAAACTCCAGGGCCGTTCTCAAATCTTCGATATTTCTCGGGAATTCCGATATCTTCACGGTCATACCTCTGCGAGACAAGCTCATCAGAGATCTCATCGGAGCTACTCAATTCTACCATGATTCCAACGAGGTCCGGCTCCTTCACGGCTGGCGGAATCGGCTCCGATTCCATTTCCTCCCCGCCTCTTGCGAGAGAGTTTGTCTCCATATTCGCGGGCGACTCCGGTATCACAGCTGTCCCCGATTTCCCGACGATCTCCTTATCCGCGAATGTCACCCAACTCCCGATGCTCCCCAAGACCGAAATCGACCTGGAAAGCTCAAGTCCTTGATCGGCCCGCGGCAATTTTCCTGGTGTTTCGTCATTGCAGGTTGTAGCGACCCTTCGTCGGTTTTGCGTGTCGGGTATGGAGCCGGCGGTCATTCTGAATCTCGCGCGTAGAGTCCCCTCTTCGTTTCTTGACGATGCCTGCCTTCCCTCTGTTGTGATCGTGGATTGTCATGTAAACCTCCCTCGGCATTCTCATCAAACGACTCCATTGTGTTGGTCTGAGTCGGAATTTATTCTCTTTCGGTGATCCGAGTACACTTCGGATTCGTCGTTTTGATCTGGTATCAGACTGCTGAGGGCCGTACTCGGCTTATGCCCAAGCAGGATTCCCGCCGGTCATTTGCCCTCCGGCAGCGCCGGTCTTGCAGTGTTGCGAGAGATTCTCAAGAAGCTTAAGAGATTTTGTTCCACCGATCCTTTCTTCCCAGCTCACGGAGTTTCGATTCAGCGTGTCGACGAATCTCTCATGTCAGCTTGTTCATTGCTCATGGGGCAGAAGGACGCTGAGGAGGGTTGGTGTGGAGGGTTGGTGTTTGCCGTACGTAGCGGGACGACGTGGGCATGTAATCACAAGCGCGCGGCGCCCTCACGAGTGAAGCAGCTGTTCCCTCGCGATTATGGAGATAAGCTTGGAAAGAGAAGTGGATTTCGAAGAAGAAGCATTTTGTATTCCTTCGGGACGTGTGATCGGTATTTCCGCCAGGAGGAATTTTCGGCGTACTGGGTTTCGGCTACCTCAACTTTCGGCGTACTGGGTTTCGGTTAGACGAATTTCGGCGTTATGGGTTTCGGCGTGAAAGTTTCGGCTTACTGGGTCTACACCCTGAGGAGATCTGGCGGATGTTGCGTGCCTTGCAGAAGCTCTGGAGCTCACTAGATCCGACTTGGGTCCCCTCAACCGACGCGGGGACTTCTGGATTTCGAAATCGTGCGAATATTTCCTCCAAAGCTGTCCCGATCGCTGACGAGGTGATCCTCTTGAGATTTTCAAGGGCGATAGGGATTTTCGGTGGGAGTCCCCCAGCCAGCTGACAGTTCTCACACCACAGAATCACGATCGAGATCACGACTCTGTTCCCCATCATTGGGCAATCTCGAACGACCGAAAGTCTGTCCCTTCTCGGGTTTACATGGGAAACATATGGCGATCTCTCGGCTCTTTTGGCCATTGGCCAGTCGCAACGTGTTTCATCATCCCTTGAAGGAGCTCGTCTTCCGCCGTTGATGTCTACGACTATCGTGGGTATTTTCGTCATGTTATCCGTGAATCCAGATACCATGCGTAGAAATCTCTCGCCGACATCCCTAAGCATTGCTTCCCCCCCCCTTCTCACAGAACCTCGGGAAAAGCCAACTGCGATTCAGCGGAAGACACGCCACAACTATTGGTTTCCGTGCACGAGGAGAGGGCGGGGGACAGCTTCCGGGGCGGAAAACCCTTGAGACATCCGAAGCTTCGTGATCATTATCAGAAACCTCTCGATATCGCTCCTGACCGAACAATATTTGTGATAGAAAGCATTAACCTCACCCAAGCTTACTCCATCGGCTTTGGAATGACGGATCGTCGGATGTCCACAGGAAGAACCCCCGAGCCAATCCGGTCTCGTCTGCTGCCTGCCGGATCACGGATGAGCTCTGGAGAGGGACATAGGCTACGTTCGCTGATTTCTCACAGCTCCGAAGCACTAGGGCCGGGCGTGACTCGACGCTCGACTCTAGGGCATGTTAGACATCATTGGACACATTGCATTGCAGTGTATGTCTAATTCTCTTTGTTTTGATGGATTCTCTATGGTCCATTGCATGATTAGAACCCGATTGCGGGGGCGCGATTGCTGGAGGCTAAAGTGACGCTTTACTTCCGGGCTACAAGGGCTCCGCCTCCTTCATTTCTCATCTTCAAAATACCGTCAAACATCTCCAAAGCTTCGACTGCTTCGTTCAACCCAATCCTTCTCTGGATCTCTTCGTCACTCTTCGCCTCGTTCGTGGGAATCGAGCTGTACGTGCTCTGGAGTTTCCTGTGAGCCGCGTGCTGTGCAATCCGGATCGGGCTTTCGAAGCCGTGATCGGAAGTCTTAAGATCTGAGCATCCCAGCTCTCGTTCTTCAACCTCTCCTTCAACAGCTCAAGTGGGAACCGACGGTATCATTTCTGGACGATTTGACATTCATTGATGTTTGGAGTCCAAGCTTCGACGATGCGCGGGACCATTCCCGATCGGATCGGGCAGTCTGCGTCCAAGAGATGCCTTGTTCCTCGTCGTCTACCTATGCCTGCCGGGAACTGCTCGAGAGCGTCCTGGAGCTCTGAACGAGTGGCGTCGGTTGATAGGCGAGTCCAATCTGGATGAGGACGGAATGCACGAACAGCCGTCGTGGGACAAAATTTCCTGGGCCAAAGCCTAGTCCCTTCTCCACGCCTCAGTCGTCTCCGAGCTCGACTCGGTGCGTCTTCCCCACTGCTCAGGCCCCTGGAGCGCCTCCTAGTTGCTCGCCAGACCCGACGGAAACCTGGGACCCGTACTTCTGGACAGTGAATTCAGGATCTCCTGCGCTCTGAGACTCGGTCTGGACCTGTTCCCCCCCTTCACTCGCATCTGCGGTGAACCTCCCGATCCTTAAGGGTACCGTCTATCGAGCTGCAAGAAAAACGCCCGCTTACGGGAGGCTCGTCACAATGCAATCTGCGACG